GCATCTTCCCAGGGCATGCCGATAACTGTCGTCTCAAGACCGAAGGTAAAGCTCTTCCACAGGGCGCCATTGTTGGTGCCACACCGAGGTTTGCACACGATGAACTTTTCGAGTTTGCGTCTCTGTGCAACCAGGGCTGTAGCAAACTCCTTTCCACATGGGAATTTCCTCTCTGATTTCCCATTCCTTTTTGGTCGTCGATCTTTTCACTTTGGTTCACTTTTGCTGCCGGTAGACCCTGCGTGTCTACGGTGGCGTTTCATGACCGCCCAACAGGGGCAGAGACGGCGGATCATCGAAACGAGGGAGGTAGAAGAGGATGTCCAATTCAAAATGCTCTCATCGGACCTCAGTCTTCTTTTTTTTGCGTCTTCTTTATGCGAAGGGAGACAGCCCCAGTCGAGTTGGCTATATACATCTTGGGGATTGTGCTCTCTACTCTGAAGCCACTGAGTGTCTGGAGTGTCTGGAGATGGCATTTGACCCATTTCGTCCGGTCGGACTTCGAGTGGCCACCAAGACATCTACGAACTGCTCGGGCGAGAGGCCACGCACCTAGCCATGTGTGAGCCAAGGGCGAAAGGTCAGGTGCCGCTCCCCCAAGCGGTGCTGGTCTTTTGGCACTTCAATGATGTAGAAGTACACATGACCATCCCCAAGTTGGGTGGTTTATATATGAGCCTACGCCATCTACTCTGAAACCATCTGAAACCAAATGAAACCTGTGTACGTGGACCTCCGCTGTTCCACGTCGCTTCATGGTTGCGACTTGGGGCGTCGCTCTTTTCTCCCAGTCTACGGAACGAGTCGACCCCGCCGCACGGACCACTCACTGTCAAATGATTGGGGTGGTTTTGTATATGGCAGTCCCATGGAGCGTCTGGGTTTGCTCCAATGCGTTCATGGTTCCAGTCTCCAGTCCCGGACGCGGGGCGTCTCCGAAACCACCTGCATCACGGGTGGAAGAACACGTGGGTGAGGGGCCCAACGCCTCTCGCCCAAGAAAGGACGGGGCGGAACCCAGCGTCCTAAGCGGCCTTTCAAGACAGAAACCACGGTTTTGAAATCGGGATATTTGATGGAAATTTGGGTCACCTCTGCCTGCACCTTTTTCATCCTTTTTCCGCTTTCCAACCTGCTAGCCAGGCCTTTTCTGGCCTCCAGACCTGGCACCCACCCGGCCTCGCGGAAGGGCAGCACTCGCTCCTGTGCGCCGAAGCTGTTCAAAAGGCCACCGCGGTGTTCTGGCGCCACCAATGGCAAGCGCTCAGGCCAACCTGGGAGGATGAGATAGGATGAGGAACCAAAAATGTCCAAAGCTAGTGTCTCCCTGTAAACAGCTAGTGGTAACATGGACACACACAACAATACATGCAAAGAACAGGTGAAAGCACCAATTTTGCTCTATATACAGATTTATACAGTACCAACCAATCTACAACAAATGTTCCAAAATGTTCCAAACATCTATTCCCAACCTCTTGACGCAAGTGTTGAAGACTTGAGCTGATCCTCGAAAACGTGGCCCCGACCATGTAAACCCCCACTGGAAACAAGCAAGTCTTAACATATCTTCAAACTCGAAGGCCCTGTAGCCCACATAGGGAGAAATAGTTGTAGTATAAGTATAAGTTATCCCCCTCTGGTGCTCAGACCGTTGTCTTCAGAATTGACAGACTTATTATGTTCTTTTTATGTTTCTGAGGTCCATCTTGTCAGTAGAACAAGCAAAAAAAACTGTGCGAGGGCTGCGAGGGTGCTGTTTTACGTGCTCGGTATGTACCCGAGAAAAAAACATCTAAAACGCGATCAGTGTGGACTACAGGAAACGCATGGATGTGGAGGGCGAAGCTGGGGGGTCCGTATATAGAAGGGCACCCTGCCCTCATATTACATATTTCAAACCCTAAAGGGATTCAGCAATTGATGTCAAAAAACCAGAGGTAACCAAAGTGAGGTCTCAAGGGTGTACATTAATGACTTCTGATGAATTCCCATGTTCCTGAACACCCACCGTCAATCTCTTCTAGGTTGGAGGCCAATTCTTCTAGGTCCTAGGTTAGAGACCATCACTAGTAGGTTGGAGGCCATCGCTAGTAGGTTGGAGGCCATCTCTTCTAGGTTGGAGGCCATCTCCACCTACCTCCGTGCTGAACACATCTCCTGCTCAGTGTTCAGCTCGGCCCCTCCCTCCGCGTCGCATTGCTGACCGAGCGGCCAAAGACCTCCGCCATGCCGCTGAAGGAGATGAGCCAGGGATCCTAGCAAGAAGTGGAGGATGCCTGGTGGCCAAGGTGGGGGAATTGATTCATTGTTATTTTTCACCCAGTGGATGCCAGGCCACTTCTTTAAGGAACCAAATGGAACCAGGGTTTCCAGGTCTGCGGTTTGAGTGTTGGGAACGACTGGTGACATACTGTAGCAGTAAGTGGGATTGAAAGGGGTTTGATTCCTCACATTGAGCGAGGAATGCCGAAGGACCTGTGAGGATGTGCTACCCGAAGGACTTGTGATTCGGAATCTTAGGAGGATCACAGTTCACAGGCCAGGAAAAGCATCTATCGATGAATAGCTCACTACTTCTCTTGCTTCACAGTCATCCAGTCATCCGGTATTGAGACAATCTCCGAGACACACCCGCTGCCAATTGGGTGGTCAATCCTTTTAACACCACCTGCAAACAGCCTGAGATTGCTGGTTGACCTGTTCCCTATCAAAGTCGCCTGAGTCAGAGGTTCAGGACACGTGAAGCTGGATGAAAAGAGCCCATCCTCATGAACTGTCTCGTTTCTCATGAAAAACCAGGGGCATTTTCAGTCGACCCAGCTCTGGAAACAGCTCTGGAGCCCAAAAGCTTTTCCAAGAGTCTCGCCCCAAATCCTTTCCAGTCGTGTTGGGGTCGGGCAAATTACAAAGGGTTCCTTTCAAAACGGTTCAGGCGCCTTTAGCTTTGGGCTTTAGCTTTGGGCTTCCATCACTTTCCGAAATATGGTTCTCCTCACATGTTAGCGCCCAAAGCGCGGCCTGAAGGTCCTCCTAGAAACGATTTCAGGCATGCTGGGTTGGGTTTTGGCTTCACTTTCTGCCACTGCCTTTGTGTGCCTTGCGCTTCTCCCTCTCCTTGACTCCACCCCTCAGGCCACCTAGACTTTGTCCCTCACTGCACCAAGGCTCTAAGCTCATCTCCCGCGCGTAGCGGATCAGCGAGCTATGCCCCACATGCAGCGCATCGAACTTCCCCAAACATGCTGCCGCTCGCCGGGGCAGTGGACCGCCCATTCCGCGAGCAGCCACGCCGGGGCTGGAACACCCACCTGGAGGGATGGCGCCTCATTTCCGCACACATAATTCCCCTCAAATCCGCACACAGACTTTTTTATATATTTAACTCAAATGCGCACACATGATTCCCCTCGAATCCGCACACATCGATTACATTCCTCTTTAAACAGCCCATGTTACCCCAAACTCAAATGCGCACACATGATTCGCCTCATTCGCGCACACACCAATTCAGTCATGATGATCTCTTTCGGCTCATTGCTTCGTTTGATTGATGATGTGTTAATAACGTCCCTCTGGACATTCATCTACATGATGATCTCGTTTTGCTCATTGCTTCCACAGGTTCACGTCACACAGACGCTCTGCGTTTGATACCCGTCCACGGATCTGACAGCCCAAACAGCGCATCTAAAGCGATGGACGTAAAATGAGACAACAAGGTTCAGATTGTGAAACAATCTGGTCGGGTTCCATTCATTCATTTTTTCAGCCGTGTAAGCCGCGCGTACAAACGAGGGAGCCGCGTGTACAAACGAGTTTCGCGTGTACAAACGAGATCAATTCTCCGCGTGTATATTCGAGGGAAATTCCGCGTGTACAAACGAGGCTCTGCCCCCTGGACCATCCCAAAAGGGCAGCTCCAATGTTCCAATCATTTCTCTTTTCCACAAAGTAACACGCATCCCTAACGGCCCCAGCGCTTAAAGCAGGGGTGTCCACCTACAAGATCTACAAGTGGCATATCAAGGATTGTGAATTGGTGACACCGAGGAAGCAGCTGGTCTGTTGAACATGTGGTCTTCACGAACCTCAGCCGCCTGCGCACGCCGCAAAGAACGACACTGCTACAACAGCAAGTGCAGGTCTCACCCGTGACGAGCGACATTCACGTGCGCGGATCACCATGGTGGGCGGCAAGGGCCGAGGGCATCACGGCGAGCCCCTCGAACACCAGCTAAAGTAGCAGCTAAAGATGCCTGGGGGATTCCATGGTTGTCCCATTTCCGGACCAATTCTAAACCATATCTCGATTCATCTCGAAGCTGAACATGACCCCGACGTGATTGCTGGAGGGTGCCTCCAAATCGCTCGGGGGAGATCCCAAACATGCAACTTGTGTGGCAACCTGCATCGATGATGTGCCCCCTATTCAATGACCCAAAGTCTCGAACCTGCCATAGCTGACTCATCATGACATCGGGATCACATCATGGAGAGTGCTGAGGCGCCGATACAGCTCCAGTTGTTGTTGGACGAGGTTCCTTCTGATGTCTTTGGCTGTATGTGAAAAGCTGCGGACGTGGACGACCTGAACACATCGGCAGCTGGTGATTGGGGTGAGAGAGGCGGCAGATCATATCATGGTAATCACCAGCGGGTGGCGGGTGACATGAATAATCATCCGTCTGAGCGTGCCTTGAGTTTAAACATCTCTGAATTCTGAATTGATCTCCAACTCATGAACCTGGCGGTTGCCCCTCACTGCATCTGCCTTAGAATGTAGATCTGGAACATGGGAGGAGCCACCCTCAGTTCTGAAAACATTTCATTGCAAAGGTATATTGTGCAAGACCCCCGCCGCAAACAAACACATCAAACAAACAGTCAACATGTCTGCACTGTTTCCCACGGTTTCCACCCATAGGGCGCCCAGTCTTTTTCCGCTGTGCAGCGTGCCCCCTTCAGGTGTGGCCTCTGCACACTTCGCAGAAACCTCAGGGCGCAGACCTGACGTCGGACATCCGGACAAGACCCTGGAATGAAGGCCGGCCACCGAGACTCCCAAATTAAAGGTGTCCCACCTTTAGGTGTTTGAAACAAAGGTTTCAACAACTTGTTGAACATGTTAAACGACTTTCATTGGATGAATGCTGGCAGTGTTTGACAGTGCACAAGGAGGTGTATGCAGCATTTGTTAACATGTATTGTCTTGGTAAGTGGACTGGATCAGTTGCATTTCCCAGCCGAAAACGGCGACACATGTACCACTCATATCCACTCGTGGCAATTTTCAGATACATTTGCGAAGTGGGAGTTGCACATGAAGGATTGTGAAGGAACTCCCTCCAAATTCCAACCTAGACTGTCTCTGATACAATGGAACTGCAAGGGAATACATAAATATATATATATAATTATGTCCTTTCGAAAGGCCCGTGCCACAAATGATTTGGACTTATACTGTGTAGGGACACTAGCAAACGAACAACATATTGGCCCGCCCTCGAATTTATATATACTGTATAATTTATAAGGTGGAGAAATCTCAAGAAACCCGCAGCATTCTTGAGCCTTGACAAGCTCGGCTTGTCCTTGAAGGAGAAGCCTGCACCCGATGGCGGTGCCGAACGTCGCTGTAGCGGCGACTGTTGAACGAATCCCACACCCACAAACAACGCGAAAGACCAAAAAAGGCCCATGGCCCCTTCAGCTTTTCAGCTTTTGCAATGATATCGTCCATTCAGGCTCCTTTAGTATTAATGGATCAGAATGGATCTACAAACTAAACATCCTCACCGCCTGGCAATGCTGAATGCTCCATACTTCACAAACAAGGACTGCATAAGTACAGTCATGCGAGATTGGCAAACATGTTGGCAACAGTCTAGCCAGTTTAACATTTGTTCGCGGATGTTTGGTGTGGCAACTTGTCGACTGACAAATGTCTGCAGCACAAATGAGGACATAGCAATTTTTTTCAACGACAAACAGACCAGTGTACCGTGCGGAAACTGGAACGAATGCACTCTTTTGAAGCCGATGGCGCCTCCGATGTTGAAGTGTCATTGGTCACACACACACACACACACACACACTCGTACTCGTTCTTCCATCAACAGCAAGACCTCCAACTCATGAAAAACGATCTCCACTTCGCCTGGGCCTGTTCGCTGCACTGCCACGCTCGCACCTCGGCAGAATGCCAAGGTGGTGATTCCGAAATCACCCATGAGTGTGGATAGAAATCGATGGACGTGCCAGGCACATGTGTTGTGTTCTTTTCGCAGAGATCTTTGCATCTCGTGACCCTTATAGAGGGTACGGAAGCTTGATGTTCTGCCGTGCCCATTCGAACAGGTGGGCGAAACATTCTAGCCACTGAATATGGCTAATTCCAAAGACCACCGAACCACTAAATCAAATAGGGGACCCAACATCAAAAGGATTTTGGATCAATCCGTTTTAAGACTAATTAGCCAGGCATAGCCGGGCAGCATATTCCTTGTCGAGTGGGGTGGATAAATGACTAAACCCTACTAAACCCAATATGCATAGAATCTAGAAGGCCAAATCTCTGGCAGGGCCTCTGCCCACCCCATTGCCCTTCCCAAGGTCGGCACACTGGCACACTACAACAGTATCTTTGGCAAAGACTGGCACCGTGAAGATGGTGCAAGAAAAGTGAGGGCTGGGTGTGCAAAGGTGACATGCAACAGCAGGCTTGCAAGAGCTGAACTTGTATCCATTGCATGCCCCGAGGTTGCTGGTGCCTTCATGTATAGTGTTGTTGGGCCTGTGCCACTTTAGCCCGTGCTTTCCCTGGTCTTTTCCAGACATTCTAGATGAATGATGATGAATGTAATATTTGGTTTTGCTGCGTCCCAAGCCCTTTGGCCTCTTGAATCGAACTCCTACATGACAAACGGAATATATATATATATACATAAATAACCAGGTGTTTTCCAGCAATTGGATCAACGGACACACCAAAACGACCCAAGAGATAATTATCGGTCTGTGCCTCCAAAAGGTTGACCTGATCTCTGGCTTTGCTTTGTCACTTTAGCTGACAGTTTTTGTGGGGGGTCAGGTCAAAAGACAACAAGGCTTCAAATAATCGTGGAGTGTGATTCTTGAGACTAATTGACCTTTGCTGCTGTCTTCATGGATGTTGGTAAGGTGCCAATTGTAGCAACTGCTCCCAGGCTTCCGGCTTTTCCAGGCATTTAAAATGAATGTACTGTGCGGGGCCGGGTGCTCCAAATGCATCCTTCCCATTTTGGAGGAAACACGTGCCGCACTGCCGGGCCATGGGTTGAATCGACTGCCTTGAGGCCATACTCTCCCACAATATGTCAACATCTCCTCCTGTGGTGGTTAATGCCCCAGGTAGTGCTAAACATCATATAATCGCAGCCACCCGATTTCAAACCCCTGGCAAAACTGCTCTTATTTTTGACAGGACTGACGAGACCTCAGAACCACCGGCAGCTGTTCAAAGGAGGGTGCTCTTGGGCTTCCAACGGCACTCTCCAGTCATCTCGAACAATGCAAATCAATGCCGTAGTCTGCAGCTTGCTTTGTTGCAGTACTAGAAGGGCAAATGAACCAAATGAACAGCATGGTTTACAGAATAGTCCGCCATGGTCCATGGTCCACTAAACATGTCCAAATCGCACCTTTTGCCCAAGTTTGATCCGTGGTCCATGCTGTTGAGGCTTTTGGCCGTGGCCGTGGGTCGACCCAAACCACCATGCTTTTCTCTGCATTTGCATGCAATTTCGATCTCATCTAGCACATAACTGGGCACCCCCAAAAAAACAAGGAGCCTTTTAGGCGCTGAGATCTCCGGCAATAAAGTGCCATCTGCACGCAGCTCTCCACATCTGCCTCTCGAGACGAGCAGCGGGTCACCTTCTCCAAGTGCGGCCGTGGGGTTCCCTTGGGACGCCCACACAGAGAGGCAAAAGAGGAAAGCCAAAAAGAACAGGGTTCCCTGGATAGAAAAGGTCAAACATGAGTCAAAAGCCCGTTTGTTTCAAGACTTTTGTGGATTGGAGGCTTGCGGCTTCAGGCATAGACTCGATATGCAAGGTTTGAAAACCAAGCCTCCACGTATGAGCAAGAACCTGAGGCCACCAAAATGCTTCGAAGCCAATGATACCATAGATGGCATGATGATGCCACGCCACCCAGGGTTCCTTTAGAACTGACCGGAACCGGTCCCCGAGCTGTTTCGGTGGAAGATGAGCCGGTTTTCCCGGAAAGAAGGATCGATCGAACGGGTGGCCGGTTCTACGGGCGAACCAACAGGGTGGCCGAACCGGCCACCGGTGGCGACCCGAGAGAAACCATCTCATTCTATCCCTCCAGTCCCCGTGGGATGAAGGGACACTCCCAAATCCAGAGCACCCAGTAACTCGTAGTCGTTTTTCGTTTTGATCGTTCGTTTTTCATGGGGAGACCCCCGATGTCCCAAGTGATCCGCTAGGGGAACCATGGGACAACTCACAGTACACTGGTTTGCCGACAGTCTTGGGATGTCTTCGGGATGCGTCGCCGTGTCATTTGTATAGTCTGTATATTCTCATGACGCACCTAAACATGCGATACACAAATATCTCGGCAAATGGATGACCTCGGCAAATGGATGACATGTAGTGAAGTGTCCCTCCCCACAACCACCAACACCGCCTCATGCATCAGACCGTACAAAAAGCCGCCTGGACCGGAGAGAGTTTTCTGGATCAAAGCACCTTTGGGTTGGTTGGATCGGCGGCCCCCACATGGAGTGCGCAAATACGCCTACTTTCTCCAAAATGACGTCAATCAAGTCTTGAAGCAGCAAACCTTTACAACTCCACCTGTTGCGAGCATGGGGCAACGAGCCTTTTTGGGGGAACATCGTCAGAGCTTCCACCCCTACATTAGGCTCGTTTCCTCTGAGACTCTAAGGGGTGCTCCACTCTAGGATTTGCTGATCAGGAACCTGCAACAAACAGAAACTATTCCCCGAAAATGGATCCACCCAGTTCCCGATTCATGGATTCATAATCATCACTGCACCCTATAGCATCTAATACACTAAAAACTACTCATAGATTGATGAGCGCAACGTAGCAAAACCAAGCACTTCCATTCTGTGTTGGGAGGCGCCCCACCCGCACCGTCCCGCGGCACCGTCCGGCGCGACACGCCTGCAAAGGCGTCCCCTGCACCGTCCTTGCGCACGAAGCGCTGGCTCCGGACCTGGGAACCCGGTGGGGACGGCGCCGGAAGGCGAGCTGACGGAAACACCGACGGACGGGGGGAGTCGTTCCATGGGAGGAAATATCTGCATCCTCTGTGCATGTTATGATTTATGATGATTGATTCCACTTATCCGTCCGCGTCCGCAAAAAAAGCCTAAGAGCTTGTGGAGACTTTGTGGGTTTGGATCGTGGCGACCGTAGGCATCCCGGTAGCCACCAAGAACGCCTCTATGCGGTGGATTCAACGTACTGATTGCTCGCCACTCCGTGGCCCTATTTTAGATCTGACTCCCAAACCGTTTCCCTGGAAAAGAACTTATTTTTAACCACCCCCTGGTCGTTTTCAGTCGGGGTGTCGCCAATCCCCCTAAGACATGTTTGTAAAGCAGGTGATGCACTTATAGGATGTAGCTCAACGAATGATACCAATGATACCTTTAAGATGCTTTAAGCATGGAGGTTTTAACCACCAGCGACCCTGCGTGCCCACAGTGGTTAGTAAACGTTCATAGCTTCCTCATCCACTCAAATCAACGTCCGGCATATCCGGATCAACGTCCATGTCCATCAGTCCGTTGACGAATTCCAACGCCCCATTCTCCGACCTCCAGCATGGGCTTTCTTTGGCTCCCGGACGGGTGGCACCGGAAAACGTTGCACCTTGACCTGAAGCAGTGCCAGCGCAATCCGCCACGGCTTTGAAAGGGGACATCATAGAAACAGTCCCCTCACACCTCACCCAAAACAGGGGCAAGGGGTTTCTTGAATGGGGACGGGCGTACGGGGTGTGAGAAGTGTTAGATTGGTTTGTTTTCCAGATGTAGACCATAAGCAAGGAAGGGGCAGCTACATGCAATGTGGGTCCTATACATTAATCTACATGATCCTGGAGGGTAGGATAAATGTGAGCATCAATCAACCTCTGGGTGAAATACTTGCAAGTGAACCCGACCTTCATCCATGAAACTCCCTCCACAAACACGTTTGTTGCGCAGGATCTTGCTTTCGGCGGCCCGGCCCCGTAGCCACGCCAGGTACTGGCCACGATGGTGGGTTTCTCCCCACAGGTGATGACCTGAGTGGACACCGTTGAGGTTTCAAACATGTTTCACATCAATTCCGTGCCAATGCCCAAGTCCCTTCAAACCAATGGATTATCCATATCATTCTATGTGTTAAACTCTGACGAACACATCACATGCAAGTGAAGTGAAATGAAGAGGATGGCATGGCCCTTGCAAGAAGACCCTCCTTGACCAACAGGGGTTTCTCCACTTTCATGTGTATACGTATGTGTCCGCGAAGCTCATGGGGATGCTTCTTCTTCCAAGCCTCAAATGGCCTCGCCCCTTCATGACGGCAACTTTGATCAGCAGCTTACATACAAATATGACACAAATAACTACTATATTACTATATATTTACAACTAACATCATGTTGCAGCTATGAAATTCAAAAAACAAGAAAAAGGGCAAAGTTGTTTGAACACATGGATCACCCTTTTGAATTAAGACACACCCATATGAATAAATATGAATAAATCTGAGTTTGCGCGGCTTTACAATCCTTTATTGTTACATATATTGTTCATCAAGAGTCTACAATAATTACTCTTGAACACCCGGGATGTTCACAAATTCCAAGAACCCGCAGGCCCTCGTCAGTCAATAAGAACCTCATATGACCACACACACACACATCTGCCCTGCTACACAATCAAGATCCCAACATTAACACGGTGTCTCCAGTTCCTCCACCGAACCCTTTCTTTCTGCATCCTGAAGCCGCCAGCCTCCGCCCCTCTCACCTCAAAAAGGCCCGTGCCACGTGGCGTCGCTTCCAGTTCTCCCCGTCCGAGCGGGGCATCTTCGCCAGCCAGGTGGCCACCTTGGAATCGAACATCGACGATCGGACACGAGATCCACGAGCCGATCGTCAACGAACCTCGGAGATCTGCGGAGTATGTGGGCGAGGTCTGACCCATGTGATTGGTCCACGGTCACCATGGGTGGCCCGCACTGTTCGTGAAGATCACCCAGGGGCCCATGCCCATGCCATGTCACTTCCATGTGTTCGGAGGGTGCACCGGATGTTCCAGCCAGTTTGCAGGGCATGCTGCCCTGGGCAGCCTTTGGCCCAGCCCAAAAGGCCCTCTCCAAAGTCTGAGTAAGGTGCTCGTGAGGAATGAGGGAATGGATCCAAAATGATCTTGAGGACTCACGAGTGGCTCATTCTCATTCTCTAGTAGTGGACCAGCCAAAACTGCCTTCTTGTGCTTCACAGCAGTCTCCAGGCACATCTCTTTGGAGCGAAGGATGATGCTCACAACGCCGTCTGGCTGCAGCCACAAGCAACCGTGGAACACCCAATCACGATGGCAAGGTACGCTCAGGGATCGCAATAGCATCTAATACCTGGAACTCCAATACACCAGCATTTGATCCATTCCTGGAACTCCAATAAGGTTTCCAAAGCATGCAGAGTTCGCCTGCGTTCTAAAAGGGAGGCACAACTGGCACCAAACAGGAGCCACGGCACGGATTTCAACTGATTTCATGATTTTGGGGTCGGACTTTATCAGTCTTTATCAGCTGCTTTACAATCCTTTACATTTGTACTTTCTGATTGCAGATGCTTGACGAGATCGTTGGGATCCTTCGATTCGGTGGACGCGTGAGGAGGTTGTGAGTTGGAGGTGCATGGTCTACATGTCATGCAATGTCATGCAATGTCATGCATGGTTCCCTTCGTCCCTTCTCTTATAGCGAAGGGCCCAGGCTTGGACCACCTGAAGGGTGGAAGGGAAGGCGGAGGGGTAGCCTTGCCTGGGAGGACTCGTAGGGTGGTGCCTCCAAAGAGGCCACCCCAGGGATTAAGCCTGGGGGGCGTCTTCAGTCTACCCTAAACCCGACCAAGATACCATAAGATACTATAGTCACCCAGCACCAACAAAAGCCACCCCCCTCAAAGCAAAGAACAACAACACGGATATTCCTCTCCCTGTCCCTCCTGGATTCTTGATCCGAACATATCCGAACACAGTTGTTTTCGTCCATGTCTTGGGCTACAAGTGCCGGCACTGCCGGGTGGTTACCCTTCCCAGGGGTCGCATCCTAGGTCCTAGGCGCCCCGGGCCGCATCCACATCCTGCGGGGGGCCGAAGAAGAACTCTCTTTCGTGATGAAAACAATGGACAAAGGGTGTCTCATCACTCATGACTAAACCATCCTAGCAAATCGGAGTGGCACACACACGCGCAAACTAAGCAAAACATGGTGCCACAAAGCAGAAGTATCAACTGAATCATGAACTGCAGCAAACGGTGCCGAGGTTAGCCAGCCGGAAGGCGGCGCAAGTGTCAAAGGTCACCTCTTCTGCATGAAATTCCAACCGCAGCAGCCCTTTAAACACTACTGCCCATGCCACATGTCTTTTTGCCCTGTTGGCAGGCAAAGGAAGACGTCACCAGGGAGGGGCACCAGGCCCGTGTGGACGTCTGCTCGGCCTGCGGAAGGCCTTCGGAACGCTTCTGCTCGGCCAGGGCCAGGTATTCCTCAGTGTACCAACACCATCTGAGCCCTTGGATCTGCACTGGGAGGCGAGTGGAAAACTGGGACCCAGGAGGTTGATGATACAAAATGATCGAACTGAGGCCCGCGTGTGTTGGTCACGTGTAAAATGCACAGTACTTCCATATGTGTCACACCCGCGCACATGCCGCGCGCGTGGTCGCGCGTACCATAGGTGCTAAATGATGCAAGCAAACCGACGTCGAAACACATATTACTGTATAGATATGCATTGTAGCGATCTTTTTGTTGGACGTCCTGTGATCGCGAAGCGAAAAACGCAGTCTTGGATGAACCGCGCTTGCACCAGGAACCCCTAAGGGGTGTCCATTGATACTTCCTTAGAGGCTAAAGCTTCAAGGGGTGTCCGTTGACACCACCCCTTGCGTGTCGTCGGATCGATTGGTGGTGTTCCTGCAGGTCCTGCTGGTGCGAAAGGGCGCCCCCTGCCCTGCACCCTCCAAGCTTTGCCAAGCTTCGCTCTCGCAGCCGAAAATGAAGTCGGTGTAAGGGATGACCTGAGTGTGGTGGCTGGAGCCATGGCATGCCATGGCTGATTGGGGTGTTAGGATGTGGTAGTACAAATCCCTGAACAGCCTTAAGCTGGACTAGTGATGAGATCCGGAATAATTAGCTTGCAAAGGATACCTGTCTCATTTTGTCTCAATGTTCTTTAATTGGTCTCAACCATTTAACACATCGGGCCTGGTGCAGTGTCGGTCACGGTCACACACGGTGCGAGATAAGGCGTGCTCATGAAATTCATGTGTCCAACGTCCACCCACACAGTGCAGTGGTCTTGCACAGGACTGCTTGCATGGCATCTGTCCTAGCACGCTCCCAAAAACACTGGATTGACGTGCCGCAGGTTACCCTGACACTGCATGCAGTATTGCAAACATGTTTTGTAATGCTTTGTAAAATGTAGGTGGCACTGCCATGGCAAGTATGCAATGACACTTTGAGTATTGTACGCACGTGCATCTGACAATGTCATGATTTCTGTATCCTTTGCTGCTGTCGCTTTTGTACAGTGCTTTGCCTGTTTGAATTCAGCCAGGCTTCTCCCCTGACCTCTCTTTGTAGTCCACACCTGCCTGGTACACGCCTGCCTGGCCCCTTCCTAGACCACGGGATGGGTGTTGATCTGTCCACAAGCGAGGTTACCCCGAATCCACGGTTGACCTCAAATTCCATATTCTAAGTTTAAATGCATCACTAGAAGCCACAAACATCAGCCTTTTTCCAAAGAGAGACTCATCAGTGATGACTGCTGAACATTAGTTCATCTTAATTAATTAGGTCTTCCTAGAGGCTGCCTCACACACACACAAACATCCACAATGCCCAGCCATAAAATAATCCACATCCAGCCAAACCTGACGATCTCAATCGGCTCCAGGCAGTAAGGATGCGATCCCCGAAGTAGCCTCGGTCGACGTGCTAAAAATGAATTTGCAGCTTTTCTCTCCCACAGGTGCCCAAGCTGAAGATGTACCAATTCGATCATCTTGGAACCATCTGAGGGCGACTAAGCCGCTTGTTCTTCTCTCCGTCTTCACATCGGCCTTGAACAGTCAAACGCGGCCCGCTCCGTTTCTGGGCTCCGCGGCGGCACACGTAGGGAGCCGATAAGCTCAGGCAAAAGGTGTTGCCCATCTTGGCACAATGCCTTCGATGAAAGGTGGGGCCGCTGGGCGGCGACGGCGTGCGGGTGCCGAACATCAGAGAGCCGGACGCGGAAGGCGGGCCGAAGTGGCGGTGTCCAAATGAACAGGGACACCTTCGATGGCCGCAGCTTCTGAGTCACAAGAACCCTAGTGACGAAAGGGGCTTTCAATGGCCGCCCTGATCACCTATGGCCAACCTCCGACTCTCCACCACATGAAACTGCTGGGTGACACGTCTTCAAATCGTTGCACTCCCTCCAACAATGGACGTGGAAAACGGCCTGTTAGTAGAGGAACGTTCTTCCTTTCGGGGCCACCCTTCCATGGCCATACTTCCAATTCGGCTGGTGGTCGAAATTGCAAGTGCACCAGCCATCCTCTGACCTTGGTCGATGATCCCTTCCCACATCCCAAGTCATTTGCTTTTCGACCAGCCATTAAGAGGAACAAGTATAAGAAATTAATCCATAGAAACCTAAGGTGATCAGCCCCAAGATTTCAGCCAACCTCCCCCACACGGTCCCCAGCTGTCCCTTTCGAAAATGGAGCATAAATCATCATAAATCATTGAATTATTGCTCAGCCGCCAAAACCGTAGAAAAACGTTACAACCAGGTCCCATCACCCATCGAACCATTCTGAGCTCGCTGCTCTGCCAGGATCTTCACGCTCTCGAAGGAGACCGTGAGGAAGGTGGCCTCGTTTTGACCAAAACGGTCGTCAGCCCCACAGTGCTCCGCCCAGACTCACAACAACTGCCACCCACTGTGGGAGCACAAGGTACGCATGAATTTGCCTCCGTGATGAGGACTGAGGTTAGGGAAGCTGTGTGGCAGGGCCCTTGGTTTTCCATGGGATCATGGCGTTTGAGAGGGAGACCCATCAATTCTAGAGGTGTTGAGAACGCTCCGCGTGCGTAAGCATGCTTTGCCGCTGCGTTGCAGTGTCTTCACTTGAAAGGGTTTCATCAACATTTGTACGTATTTTGTTGCAACTGACTAGACAGGTTATCTTTTTGAGATATGTCAGGCGCCTGATCTCAAGAACCAGATCTTTAAATAACTTTCAAGTCAACTGACTGAAGAGTAGAATGTATGTTCCTGGCCCCTCGTTTCTGTGGGTGGTGACCGGTCATGGCCATGTAGTGTTGTATAGCCAGTTGTATTTGCACATGGCACATGTTCATGAAGAAAAGGACTGCACAAAGCATCCCTTCGATCCTTTTGACCCACGTGCTTGTCATAGGGCTCAACTCTCTGAGAAACACTAGTTGGATTTCCTTGCATTTGCTCAAAGGCTCTAACTATTGATATAGGAGGAGCATCCAATAGACCATAAGTCACCAACTTAGCCCCAATACAACACAGAACGTACTGTACTATCATAGGTTTGTGAAAGAACAATAAAGAACCCATTCTCCTTGCCTAGGCCCATGGATGCCATGGTCAACGAGGCCCTCTCCCAGAAAACGGCCTCTGCATAGACCACGCCAGCAGCTTCCACCTGCTCCCAAACCTTGAAGCGCAAATGGTCCAGCTTGTACCTCCGAGAAAGCTCGAGACGGGTGCCACGATGGGTGCCATGAAAACAACGGTGATTCTCGTGGGAGATGGTGGAAGCAATCTTTTGATGGCACGGATGAATCATGATGAATCTGAAAGGAATGGTCAGCTTGATGTGGATTCACCATTCATCCACTACTCGGATGCGTTAAAAGGACCCCCAGCCAAAAAATAACTTAAAGACCTATAGATTCCCTGCATGTTACACCAAAGGGAAAATCTACCCTAGGCCGTAAGAAAAACGTGGACAATATGTGTTTGTGGCGAGGGGCTACTTGGAACCCTCTACAGCAAACACAAAACCCAAAGCTGGGAATTACTTGAACTGAACTGTATGGAAGGGACTGAGATTAAAAGGTGTCATCATTGATGGCCTCTGAGCTGCTTTGAACGGATGATCCCAGAAGGTCATTCACTGCAGAGAAATTAAGTGCCTATTGTAAATGAACTAAGGGACTTGATCATAAACAAAATAAACTTATTATTTAATCCTGCTAGCAGAATGAATGAACTCTGAGGCACAGGCTGGTTGGCAGCACCAGCCTGAGATGCCACTGCATCGCCGGGTTAATTTCAGTGCACTCCATATAGTAAGACCCTGTTTCCCAACATGAATCTTCCCTTATTAGTCTTATTTTTATGGAGTGCACTGCAATCAGAGACCGGGACATAGAAACTATTAGCTTAATATACTTAGTAGATTTGCCAGTGTCACAAACGAGCCGAACCAACCAATATTCCGCAGAACGTCGAAGACCTCGCCTGAAATACACGATTTACCCTGCAACGGACCACTGGGTAGTTTGCGAGGATCTTCTCTCAGACTGGCCTTTGGGCAGCCAATCTCGGCCACACCAAAATGACCGAAAAGGAATACAGGGCAATTGCAACCCCTCTCTCTCAGTCTGTCTATCTGTCTTTTGTCTCTGTCCGTCGCCCTCCCCATGAAAATGTCCAGGAAATGCATTTTTTGCGAACATCCATTGCATCACAAACACTCATTCAACATGCAGCTCACTTGAACACGTGATTTTTGTGCACGCCGGATGTTATGTGATATATTGGAACGTTTGCCAGAACATAGAAACATTCTCCCCCCTCCCCCCCCCTCTGTCTCTCTCTCTCTCTCTCTCTCTCTCCCATGTCCAGAGGCACAACTACAAACACAACAAGTTTGCCAGGCCAGACAGCCATATGTTTTACTGGGTATTTTAATTTTCGAGACACTCAACTGATCGTCTTGGAGTCCACCGATAACTTGAGTAAAGACCAGTGAGCCTCGTCCCCGTGCCTCTCCCGTCGTCCCACCTGTTCAATGATCTGCACATCCAAGATTCTTTTGCGTGACAGACATCAATCCTCTGCCATATTGAGCCATGACAGGTCACTGTACTTTTGAGCTGGCGGACAAGTGTCTTGCAGCAGTCAAGTTCATCGCAGTATAAGCACCCTGTAGGCCGTTGGAAACGTCACTGCCCGTGGCGCGGTTGGTGCTGCAGAGCTTCGTTTGCAGCAGTGGCAACACTTCAACCTTGCTCTCAGGCGGTCCTGGTGCGCCTTTCTTGGTAATCCGTTTGGTCAAAGTCGTTCTATGCTTCAGCCACAAAAAGCGGCCAGCGGGCATGGAGACGGGTTTTTTGGAGGCTGCTCGCCCAGATCGCGCTGCAGGTTTCTTGCGCAACTGCGCCTTTGTTTTGGCGGTCAATGTACATGGCTTTACGCTTCTGCAGTTGCGCGAAAGCCGCGCACATGCGTAGCTGTCGAAAAGTTGAGTCTGTGCAGTCTTTTGAACGGCCCAGCATATGCCACTACGTATCTTGAGGGCATCTCAACGAGCACAAGTACGCAGCGCACATTAAAAACCTTTGCAGTCCTTGGGATGGCCTCCTCTGTGACGTCCTCCGGAAGGATTGAAGGAGAACGGCCGCGATTGCAGACGTGGTCTGTCGCCCGAACATTGTGGGTTGACACATCTGTGAACATGTGTCTTGGAAGGCTCTGGGCAACAATGTCTGCTGCGTCGTCCTCCAAAAACACCAGCCATCTTCAGCAACAAGAGACATTGCTTCTCGGACCTGGCCAGAACAGTCGGAAAATCCACTTGCCTCAAAATGCGCACCTCTATCAGCTCTGGAGGTAAATTTCTGAGCAGCATATCATTTGCCAAGTTTTCAGTGCTTCCTGTTCGTGCCTTTGCTGGTGGCAATAGTTCTGGAAGTAGGCTTGGGCCACCAGATTCATACCTGTGTCTGTCCGTAACAAGTTGCCTTTCATGGCTCAGAGATGAAGAGCCAAGGAAGCTTCATTCATAAGGAAAAAGTCATGCCTAAAAAACAGGAGTCTTTGTACTGGGGATTCGCAGAATTGCCAACAAGACTCGTGAGAAGAGCCAGCAGCCCGCTTTTGATCCTCGTCCAATGACCGATCTTTGCTCGCAAGTGCGGCGGGCTCTCAAATCCATTCGGTGGTGATAAAGACTACGACTCGTCTTCCTGAAATGTTATCGGAGAAATGTTGTCGGAGAACAAGGGGTCGGGAACAAATTTTTCAGAAGTCCGAACAACTACCATAAAATTGCCATATTTAAGAAAACTGGTTCCTCCATGGTCGGCATTCGTGCGTCCGAAGAACACCGTGCAGGTGATTCTGTCAAATTGATCACTGGCTGCCACTCAGACCGCTTGGCAATGGGGTCGGGCGAGTCTAAGATCAGAGTCGTGGTCCGCATGGCCCCAGGCGGCGAACGCTCTCGCGCTTCCAACTCTGGGTCGGATGCAAGCGGCTCCGGCGTGACACATGGCGTGTCCATCACAGGCTCCGTAGGACATGTCTGATTTGCAATAAACGTCTCGAAAGAACCCAGAATGCACTCCACAAGAAAGGTCGCGAGAATTCCAAACATCGAACAAGACCAAACGAAAATCGACAAAACGATCGAAACGTAAGGGTGACCGACAGTTTAACCATGAAAGCTGAACGCTCCTGAACAAATGAGACAGTTGGATCCAAAAACACGGGAACAAACGTCAATGTGGGCATCCAAACAAATTTGGGTCAGCCGTGAAAAAAGGCACCTCAAATGCTCATTGGGGGAAGGCCACCTCAAACCGGACAAACGCAACAACAGAACTTACGACAAACACAAACACACAAATGTCCTCTAAGCCAAAAAAGCAACGCGAAGGTCGAATTACCCGAGTAGTAACGCGAACGAAACGTCACAAAGTCGACAGCGGAACGCGAAGGCCGATGTACGCGAAGGCCGTAACACGGACGAAACTGTCCCCAGCCCCTCGCAACCCCCCTGTTCCGTGGTCGGACACGTTTGCCTGTCGGACACCCCCCGTTGGGACAACATTTTGTTTTAATGTTGGATCTCGATTAGTCAAGGGGTCCTCTATAATGCTAAAATGTTCCAAATTTATTCAGACCCCCATGTTTGAAAAATGGGTCCTGAATAATGCTAACTGTTTTTGGGGACCCTAAATTTTTAAATTGGAAACCTAATTAATAAGGGATTGAATTCCTTCTGAGGCCAATGATTATGATTCATTAGCTGATATAGCTTTCTCTAGGTTTCTTCAAAACTGACAGCTGGCCAAAACCACCAATTCCTAATTAAACCCTTTATAAAACATTGCTCCTAAACAAATTTACAAAGCACCTGAGAAAGGAAGCTGAATACAATCTATGAAAGGAAAATGAATACTACAATCAATTACAAAAAGGAATTCTCACAGGAATCCAGATTTGTTTTGGTGATAGTTTTGTTTTTTTTTTTAAATAGAGGGTCTCCTCTTTGTTTGAGAGGGGGGGCCCTTTACTAATCAGGATCGCACATTATGTTGTTTTCAGATTCACTTTTTGAGTATTGTATATATACTGTGTATAATTGTGTATATATATATATACGAGTAACTCCATTGTCGGAAAATCAACAATTATATAAAATTATTACGCAAAGCCACCACACATGTCACGAGTCGCCTGAATGGCACGATAGACCACCCCCGACTTCACGTTGCTCTCACTCTTCTCCTGGAGCAGTTTGGGAGCCCCGAATGACACCCTTGGGCAAGTCCCACAGGAGAAGCCAGGAACCTTGGCATCTGAACGAAAGGTCTGGCAGGGAAAGGGGGTCAAAGGGTGACTTTCACTCTTCCACTGGGAGCTGGCCAGCAACCCAGTGGAAAAACCGCAAGCCAAGACAAAAAGGAAAACAGAACCACAAGGTTGAACACGAACAGCAACATGACATATGACACTTGGACTGAGTAGCTTTCGTGCCCCAAGAGCTGATCCTCATAGAATAAGAATGCGGCAGAATGGGCGTTAATCTTGTGTTATGAATAATTGGAAGGTTACGTGGTTACAAGTTACATGTGGCATTAACGAGTCAACCCCTGATTGTCGGCCGATAGCCAGTCAGGAACCATATGCTAGCACCATTGACTCCAGGATGATTACGCAGGCCGAACGGGCTTGAGATCTTCCCCTGTTCCCTGCCACACTCCCTGCTCTCTCCGGCCTCAGTGGGGGCCGCCAAGCCCCTTGGCATGACCAACGAAAGCAAACTTGTTCCTGGAACTACTCTCTTCCCAGTCCTCCCACCTCCCGGAAACATCCAACACGATCATAAATAAAGGAGGGGCCCGGATTGAATTGGGTATGTGCAGGGGAGTGTGGCCCTCAAACGTCGGATTTCGCGGCCGGCACGACATCGGACAGGTTGCAAGCTTGCGAGCCGGCAGTGCAGTGGGAGGGATGCGGAGGGCGTGGGTGTCCACGCCCCCTCCACAAAGAACACCGAAGCGTAAACAAATAGAACAGAAAGCAAGTTCCTCAGCTGTAGATCTGGCCCTCGGGCGGCCCTACGCTGGAATGGTTCCTCCCAGTTCTACATGTTACACTCTGGTGGCCTACAAAAGGAGCGCTGCATTCCAATGGTTCCTTCCGGCTCTATCCTCCAATGTTCAGGTATAATAACATGTCTCCATCCTCTAAAGACTCCAAACTTTACCCTCGGGCCCTCGAGTGGGTTCCTTCTTAAACTTCCTTCATAGCTCATTTTCTTGTTTGCTTGCTCCTTCTTCCTGTTCTGCCTTGACTAGGAGCCCCCCTCAGAAAAATAGATGGCCCTCAATAAAGGAGCCGTAGTAGAGCCATCGCGTCCAACTGGCGACTGGGACTGTCGATGCGCTCAAATTGCACAATGACCACCCATGCATGGATTGTAAAGAATCACATCGCCTTCCAGGGATGTCAAATCCTTCTTAGCATGCTGGGCAGACCCTCCTCCACGGTCTTACAGCAAACTAAGCTCCATTTATGGGTTAAATCACGCAGCGCAACATGAACAAATTTATGACTAAAGTGGCCGGGTTCTGAGTTCGGAGGTGTTTGGCATTATAAGGGATGGGATTTCATGATGGCAACCGCACCGACCGTTTCTTTCCATCCGCTTCCCCAAACCGAACCATCACACGGCCCAAGGGATCCCATGGCCCTGATTCTGCTCCTTTGCTTTGCTATCTGGGCGCTGCTCCCATGACCCAGCGAACCACGTGGCCCACCGTTTTCACGACGTGGGCCCCCCACGTCATGGGACGGTCGAAGCTGGCGCCCGCATCGTCCATGCGCAGGGGCAGGAGGAAGACCTGGCAAGTTGCGGCTCAGGAAGCTCCGTAGAACTCTCCACCCTAGGGCTCCAAGTACCGGTAAACTCTCTGAACCCACTCCAAGCACCTTTTGAAAGGGTGGTTGGAGCCCTAGGCCCTAGGGGCCCCCCACCCTGCTATGTGATGGGAATATTGTCATGAGAATATGCAGTAACACATACGAGGAGTGTCCCACCATATGGACCTGTGCCCGCCTCTTTTTTTAAGGGTCTGCCACTAGAAACAGTCCCTATTGGAGCCTAACTCGAGCTGCTGTGTGTCTCTTATCACAACATGCGTCGTCCATTGTCATGGGATATGGGGTTGCTGCGAACGTTTAACTTGACGCCCCGGTCTTCCCACACTAGAAAAGCTCAACCGCTGACCCTGAGAAAACTGTTATCCAGATCTGAAACATCAGGAACGACAAGAAGAAGAAGAAGAAGAAGAAAAAAGAACAACAACAACAACAACAACAACAAACTTGACAACAACAGGAACAATGCACCTGATGGAAAATCTAGTGTTTCACTCCTGAACGATTATGTTTCACCTCAAGAAAAAAAACAGCTCCCGGCGCCAAGCGTCGCACCGGGACCGGCCGCCACCGGCTCCTTCCCGGATCTGCCCCGGTCCGGCACCGTCCAACCGGTTTGCTCACTGACGATTTCGCTCAGCAAGGGCTGAATCCCATTCTGGCCGCGGAGAACGTCCCGCGCGACGTTCTCCGTCGAGACGCTCCGAAGGGCGTGGAGACCGGCCATGGTTTCGCGCCAACACGGTTTTGGGGTTGAGAGGTTCCTGGGTTGGCCAGGCTCATATAGTTGTTCCAACAGCATCTCCGTTTAAAAAGGAATGGGTCTCAACTAAGGTTCATAATGGGAGAGAAGTTCATAATATAGTTCACATGTTTATAGATTTTCCGATGGTGTATTCATGCATTGGCTCCTGAAAAGCCGCCATAAACTCAAATGTGAAAGTCATTCGTTACTGTATAGGGCTATAGTCAGGGTTCCCAAGGGGTTCACTCTGCGATGAAATAGATTGTGGAAACCGAGCCACGCTTGTGCGACCCTGACAATGTGAGTGATTCTTTCTACGTGAGATTGCCACCATCATATTGCAATGAATGAATACAGCGTATGTATTTCCTGGTGGGCGTTGACGGATGTGACTCAGAGGAGAAACCCAGAGTTTACAAACATCCTTGTCTTGAACTCATTGCAAGTTCATACTCACGTTGGTGCTTCAAAGGTGATTGCTGCACCACCCACAATGTGTTTCTACCAAAGCACGGGCAACAACAAACTACAGCTGCAGCAAGCTTTGTTTAGTTGTTTGGGCTCCGAGTCACTCTAAATGGCTGAAACTTCCACATTTAGAACATCAAAGTCTGACTTACATGGCGGTGTGAAACCCATAAAGGAACTGGTCAAAACATGTTTAAACAAAAAAACGGAAACAAAAACGACTCCATTGGAATATACATCGACCTCTCATGTCCCAGCCCGTGTCGACATTTTTGGGGAACCAGCCCGTTCGACTCACAGGCGCTGGAAGAAGCGGTTCCTTTCGCTCATCAGTATAGTGGATTGAGAGTAGATGGCACAGACCCCAAGAGGTGGCTTATATGGACTCCCATCTAAAGAACATCATGGGGTGCCAGCGCCATCTACTCTGAAACCACTGTAGCTCACATACTTTGACCGGACCACATATGACCGGCACACTGAAACCGAGCGTTCTTTTTCCGCACAGGACCCACCTTGTTGAGGTAGTCCTGCAGCTTGTAGCCTCCCAGAATGCTTGGCTTAGTTTCCCAAGGAACCAGTTCAGTGGCATTCGAGACATCATCTCTGCGTGACCCAGGGCGCTGAACTTCACCGGAAACATCCGCAAACACTTGTCAAAAGCATCCCCACCCACGGATGTCTGCGATACCATCCCATGGTTGGGGTATTTTGACCGGACTTATGGCGTAAAGTTGGGATGTGTGGTCAAACTTGAGGACATTGACCCCGTTGCAGGACTCCCGCCTCTCAAGTCCTCAAACAAATTTTGCCCGCCCGTTGAAATCTAATATGGAATGGTGTGCCTGATGTAGTTCTAGATTTCTTTCCATACCTAGAGACCTGACAAAAGCTTTGAAACCTCCTACACTAATTATACATTCTATAGTATAGTATATATATATGTACTATTCCCGCCTTATATCAGTAGAAGGCAATTCAAAGCTCCTTGTTTCATCCTTATGCCTTTCTGTGGGCACTCATCTTCTCCCAGCGCCGGGTCACCTTTTCGGGCCCCCGTGCCGAGCTGGTCACGCCCCACGCCGCCCAGCAGGGAGACCACCGGATCCTGCTGGGTCGCCTGGTCACCCCGGTGAGACGAGTTGGGGGGATCCGACATGACCCGTCTGGGACATCAAGGGACTGGCATAACAAATGAATTGAAACAAGCAGAAATGCCTGCATTGATCATTGCTCCCAAACATCAAGAAAACACCAAGTGATTGGTGAATAGGTCAGGAAACCACAGAGTGTTCGGGTTGAATCGAACCCCCGCTTCACCCCGAATGAAGCACGCGGTTCATGCGTTTCATGTTAATAGTCTTGAATTAAGGCATGCCAAGGCGGGGTATTGTTGTCGGATGTTCGTGGTGCTGATAAGAAATGCAATGATCAGCACAAAACATCATCAAACCAACTGCCGCGACGGTGGACTACGGAGACCATGTGTGTCCATGCGTCCAAACCTCTGGCCGCGGGTGCTCATACAAAACTAGTCTCAAAAGCGTATATATATATATATATATGTTCATTGGATGTCATTAGATATTTTATTGGGGAGTAGGGCAGCATTTCATTTCATCTGCGCATTACTTAAAAAATGCAGAATCAATACAAAGAGCGGCGGGGAAATTAGCGGCTGAAAGTGAATGCTCTGGAGCAAACCAAGGTTGGGATACCAGCTGGCGATGTATGGAAGTATTTCTCCTATCTTCCCTAGCAACCTTAAACCGCCTCATACAGCAGTGATGGCTCACCAGCTGCCTCGAAGGAATAGCCAGGGTCTTCTCTCAAAAGTGCCTGGGTCAAGCCAAAGGGCTCTTGATGCAAACCATTGGCAAATGATGGCGCCCTTCTCCCCGATCTGAGGTTCCACCACGACAAAGTGCTCTTGTCTCCCTTCACTCAACAAAAATCCTTACTGCCCTTTGTATAACCCTGGGTTTGTTGTGTGGACTCGAATCCTTTGAAGCCTCAACAAACAGCCAGTTGGTGGATTTCAGAGTTCCAAGGAAAAACATGGAAAAACAAACACCCCGTCACTGTTCAGTTCACCACCCTCCGCATTTCGCATGTCCAAGCAAACTTATGTAGCCCCTAGCGCCAGCAGCAAAAAGTCATGTGTCTCCTAAATGGCTGTGGGTCATGGAAACAGGATACCTTGGTTAACCTACCGACGTGACTTGCCCTCCAGTCTGACGCTTCCCACAGCCCTTCACCTTTTAGTGAGTTGGGGAGTATGGGGTAAGTACAACACAAACATGCAAGAAAATCTGTACACGGCAAGAAACACCACTACGTCACTACGTGAGACCGAGTGTCCGCGCTGCTCGAACCGGTGCAAAGCCAAGTCTGAGTGGTCTTCAAGATCAATCTTGGTTGACCTACCCGGAAGGTCAAACTATATGGTGTTGGGGCTCCAAGTTTTGACCCATCCCCAAAAAGCCGCCTATGACGCCTATGTATGTCTTCGTCTTCACTCTCTGAAACCAAGGCCGGCTTCCAATCACTCCTCATTTTCAAAGAGACCCACATACATCCACATACTCTTTCCAGTTCAAGTGGGTCTTTCCCACCCAAACCCAGGTCCCGACCCGCCTGCACCGTCATGGCGGTGGTCGTGGCATCGCCCGCGGCCGCGTAGAGCATGGGGCGGCCCAGCTGAGCATCGGGGTGCTGCATGCCCGACAGGTGCCGGCAGAAGGAGCTCTCAGCCACAGAAGAAAGTACCGTGTATAGATGTTTTATGATTTTTTGATGCGTTATGTTGAACATTGTTTTATATTTATATAGTTTTTCTTATTTTAGACGGCTTCTTCCCCATCAAAAGGTGGTTGACATGGGTTAAATTGTGTTTAAATAATATTGTAATCTTGTCTTACGCCTTTGCGTGCCAAAGGCTCCATGTGTACTGACATGTTTGCAGGGGTTTCAGAGTAAACGGCACACCCCCCGCGATCTCTAAAGAGATGAGGGTCCGCCATCTACTCTCAATCCACTCCACCGACCTTGGGGTGGATCCTGAGAGACATCTTGTATATGTAAAATATGGTACACGTATATAACGTAATCTGTTTGATAAACATGGAGTGTCTGCATGGAATGTCATGGGTGTGTGTGTGTGTGGATGTGTGTGGTTCCATGGTGAACAGAATAGACTAGCTGGGATGTCAACCTACTCTCGTTTGGGGCTCTTGGGGCCATGACTTGAGAGCGGTTCTCCAGTCTCAGTCCACGCATCGATGGGGGCTGCCGGCCCTGAGGAAAGTGAGGGTTGGATGCCCGATGTGATGCGATACCCAATGCCCCCTATATAACAAGTCCTAACAAGCATCAAGTCAGCGACTGTCATCAAGCATGTAAAGGCCCTTGGTCCTGTGCCACATCCCTTCGAATTTCCAAACATGCTCACTGCTTTCAGTGCTTTCAGAAGACAAAACTATGAACAGCAACTGGCTGGGCTGCTTAGCGCCAATCACCCACATCTTCCGGCCCATCAATGGCACCTCTGTGCAAACTCGATTGATCTCAGTGAGCATGGTCTGCATGTGGCCTGGCACCAAAAGCTGACTCCGGAGCAGCGAAACGACAGAAGCAAAACAGGCGCTGGCTGACTCATCTGACTGGCGTCCAATGATTTATGATGGATGGATAAATCTTTGGTGCACCATTCCAAGAAGTGAAACAACATATGTCGAAATGGACCTACGAAGTGGCCCATATGGACCTGCGAAGTGGCCTGGTTTGGTGTGCGTCTTGATCTGTTTCCCAAGCTTCTGCCGGAGAACCCATCCAAAGTTCATGTCCCCCCAAAACCGGTGCATCCGACGGGTTCTTCGCCGCTCCGCAAAACGGGGCAGGGCGGTACGCACCCGGTCCTCGGACCTCCTCGACCGGATGAGCCAAACGGAGGGCTTCACCCGGTTCGGGTTCGGATTCGGATTCGGAACCGGCTCCAAGTGCATTTTGATTGTGGTAGCATTTTGATTGTGGTAGCAATCGCCGATGGATGCCAACTGAAACGGCCGAGACGTCATAGGCCTTCCACTTGCACCACCTCAGCTTCTGCCAAAGGCTCAACTGGAGAGTGGGATTGTCTTAGATACTGACCAACACGGATAATCAAAGGGATTCTGAAGGCTACAATCCTTCCCCCTTCAAACAGCAGGATCCAGGCACTCGAGTCAACTAGGAGGCGTTTCAACCAAAATATTCCTTCTTGGAGAGCCCCCCGCATGGCAATGGGGGCACCCAAATCATCCTGACATGGTGTTCTATCAGTTCCCAGGATCAGCTTTTGAGGCTTTACACGATCTCAGCTTCACCAGTGCCCACTGCGTAGCTGAGCTAACACCCTGCGCTGGCCAATTTTCACCTACCTGTCTCCCCCGCGCTCTCCAAGACATACCTCTCGAGAGGGAGGGAAAACGTGGGATCTTCATTCCTTGATGAAGCTGGGTCATCATCTCCCTACTCTCAGCTCTGGTTTTGGCCGGTTTGAGATCTGTTGCCCTTAAGGCCATGGACCGTATGGACCCACGGTTTAAGAGGCCAAACAAACGTTGTTTAGGACCATTGCTATATTGACATCTATTGACAATACTAGTGGGATGACTCTTTTTTGGTTAAACCACTCGTATGGAAATGTACTGAACCATTCTGGTAGAGCTTTTTTTTGTTGATGGAGAGTCTACATGAAGCAACCAGCTTCTTCAAAGTGCCCATTTTGGAGTGTTCAAGTGAACCTATTGGCCAAGCTCAAAAACGTGGGTATCAAATGGTCACTTGAGAATCTTAAGAAACCGGAAGCTGTCTCGCATCTGTCCGAGCAGTGAGAAAAAAACAAACAAGATGGAACCCACGAACCCGAATGCAAACACGTTCGAAAAACTAATACATCCAAATGACACTCTTGTAGGACACTCTTGTGGGACACTCTTCTGGGAAGGACACACTTGTGGGTCACTCTTGTAGGAAACTCTTGTGAAACACTCTAGTGGGACACTGTTGTGGGACAGTCTTGTAGGACACTCTTGTGGGACACTCTTGTCGGAAACTCTTGTGGGACACTCTTGTGGGACACTCTCGTGGGACACTCTTTTTGGACACTCTTGTGGGGCACTCTTGTGGGACACTCTTGTGGGACACTCTTGTAGGACACTCTTGTGGGACACTCTGTGGGACACTCTTGTGGGACACTCTTGTGGGACACTCTTATAGGACACTCTTGTGGAACACTCTTGTGGGACACTCTTGCGGGACACTCTTGTGGGACACTCTTGTAGGACACTCTTGT